CGCAGAGAGCAAACCCTCACCTCTGGTTCGGATTTACAGCAGGAGAATGCATCAATCCTTATTGTTTTCTTATTTCTTGTCACTTTTATTTTTCTCTACATTTACCACCATCTGCCCATGCCTGCTTGTTGTGCCATGTTTCCTGACTGCATGATAATTTTTTATCCTAGGAGAGTTTGTTGAGGCTAAAATACGAGAATGGAACACATTCAGAAATACTGCCCTTATGAAATTAATTAAAAATGATTAACAAATATAAATGATTCACCCAACCATCAGGCTGCCTTGTCCAGGAACTCTAAATCAGTGTATAAAGCAAAGGCCTTAACTGGGTACCAACAGATTAAAGAATCTGATGAGATTTATGATTCTTGAGATGGATGCCACTTATTAGCACACATTCTACATTTTTTTTTTTTTTTTTTTTTATCCTTGGATAGTACTGAATTCCACTCACTCACATTTCTTACCTTACATCACCACCAAACAAGCTTTAAATAGTCAACTCTGGGCATTTCAGGTGTTCTACAACCACAGTAGTTCATGTGATAAGGAGTCATAAATCAGGGTTCCACCCTCAGTGCTAAAACTTATTAAATGACAATGGACAAGTCACTGCACTTGTTAAGCCTTAGCTTCCTCAGCCAGAGAATAAACAGAAGAGCTGCCATGCCTACTTGACAGGATTTTAAGGAAGGTCAAGAAAGATCAGGTCTATAAAAATATTTTATAGTGTTACATATGTAAAGCAGTAAAAATGTTTGTTCACATTATTACACCATTAGAGGGGCTAACAGTTTTGTCCTATTTTTTTTTGTCCTATTATTTTTTTTCCTTTTCTGTTAATATTTAAGTGAGTTAATACATGTTAGGGTAGTATCTGGTATTTAATGTTCAGTGATAGCCATTAACTTTATTATTATAAGGACATATTTTCTAAAGGTCTTAATTAGCTCTTGTAAATAGGACAGAAGAAGAGATCACCTGGAGATTAAGGTAATGCAGTTATGGAAGTAAGAGTGACTGCCCATCCAATATGGCCTATTTCCTACCCCTACTTTAAATTAATAGAAAAGGGAAGAGTAGGAAGAGATAAATATGGGAACCCTAATCTAAGAGAAGAATAGCTGAAAAGTATATGACTGGCACAGAGTATTCTAAAGAAATTTATCCCCCCCTCACAATCCTTTTTAGCTGAAGCTGATCCAGAAGCTTAAATTTCTGAGTTTCCTTCTCCTCTTTACTACTGATCTTCTGCTTGTAACCTTCAAGGGAGCCATTTAACCACTTGGTCTTCTCAGATAAAAATCTGATAACTTCCATCTGTCCAAGATAGACTGATATGTGTTCATCAGAATGTTATCAAGATAAAGCTTATTGTAGGTTCCTCAAAAGAAGCCAGATGCTATCAGACCCCCATGGAAACAGGTGTTTATCTTATTTTTCTTACTTCCTCTCCCGCTCTCCCTCCTGCTCACATATAAACACGTTTTGGCTGTGGTAATAATAATGTGGGAAGGGTTCAAGTATTAGTAGTCATCAGATACAATTTGTTAGATAGAAAACGGAAAGTTTTTGACTTTATGAGTAGAGTTTAGAGTAGATCACAATGAGAATTTAAGAGAGTTTCCTTCACTTTATCATCAACCTCATCTAGCACGCCTCTCCTTAATCGCATGTGGAAGTATTTTATTGGTCTGTGACATACAGTGCCATAATATCAACACTTTCATATCAGGAAAGCTAGTACTCCATTTGCTCTGTTCTTTCTCTCCTGTGAAAAGAGAAGAGTCTATACAGCATGTCTGAAATTATTGTGATTAAAGTCATTAGAAAATTGCTTCTTCTAAGAATTAAATGTAGTGTCTAAAGTATGTTATACTTTTAAGAACTCAGAAGTCCTCTGTTCAATAGGATAGAGGACAAAGTATAGCTTAGGATATAAATCTTAAGTTCTCATACAAATAAAAATACTTAGACATATACACAGTATACACAAATGCAGTATTTTTTTTCATGGTAGAGGATGTGAAAATTAAATATTCCAAGAAGAAAATCTATTTCCTTGACTGAGATAGGATACTAAATAGGTCAAGGAGCTAGAAATAAAAATCCTATGAGGGAAAAGAGAGAAACCTAAACATGGTAAGATCATCTAACATAATTGTAAGGATGATTTATCTTTCAATATTTTTCTATAGGATCTTTCTATGAACTTTTCTTGGTGAGAAATAGAATTCAAAATACCTCATATTTCAGGTTCACACAAACTTTGGGGTGAAAGATGGGTTGTGCAAAAAGATTTCAACTTCTACAGATTATTAGGTTTTGGCTGCCTACTTTACTTCCCACTTAGCCAGGAAGAAGCTGAAAAGAAAGAGTAAGAGTAAAGAAATACACATAATGGAAAATCCATAAAAACAGAACTCCTAATTAACAAAGTGACATTTTTAAAATAAGAAAAAAATGCAATTAATATTTCCTACCAAAAACAAAAAATAAACTATTAGACTCTAATTAAGCGGTTATTTTAAATTAGAAAATTTATGATAATATTTACGGAATCTTAAGAATGGAAAAAAATACATGTGCACACACCAATTTTACATACTAGAGAGTAGAAGAGAATACGTTATATATGAGTCCCAGATTAGTCATCTTCCATCCAGATGATGATCGTAGTACAGTCTATTATAATGAAAGACTTATACTAAGTTTCATGGGCTTAAAATATGAATGTTTGAAATTGTATATTATGAGTAACCAACAGTTATTTGTCATAGGTATTGAATCATTTAAGTGTCTAACCCTCTAACCTCCAGACATTAAAATGTCATATTAATTTCTTTAGGGAGTTGGCCAGCTATTTTGCACCATGTAGAAGCAATCTAAATCAAGCCATCATTTACCTTATTTTATTCTTCCTGCTTTCCAGGATAAATACTCAAACTGCAAGCAAAAGCTGTAGGACAACACTACCTATATTACGTACAGTTTGTGATAAGCAAAGCACATAATGACTACCATAAATCTTAAGGAATATCAGAATTCTTATGCCCATACCACTTGATCTCACAGTGAGAAAGTTGAGTATTTGGAGAAATGAATGCCTTATTAAAATTTGGAAACCTTCATTAGCACAGTTTACACTAGATAGCTACAAATGGACTATGACAGTGATTTCGACTAGGGCACATCAGCCTTAGCCACTACCCATCAATGACAGTTGGTCCTGTCTGTAATGTTTTATAGGAATACAAAAAAGTACAAGAAAAATTCATTTTGTCAAATTTAAATGCCTAGAAAAGGGCAGAACAAAAAAAGATTTTCAGTAATAGAGAACATATTTTAAATTAGGTTGATAAAATAGATATTCACATAGGATATTACTGCATTGCATTATTTGAAAGCATGGTGTTAGCCTTGTTACAATTCTGCTCCATCACCACACTTAGGTTGGTGGACAAAGAACAGTCATGGTATACCACATCCAGAAGACAAACAAACATGTTGTGTACTCTACTGACAGGCCTTTATTGAGCTGATAAAGGTGATGAAAAATGAAAGTACATATTAGAGGGAAGGAGGAGAGGATCAAATATTAAAAATGTAATCCAGGAAGTTATAGTCTATCAAGGATTATGATTAAAATCAAATTCACAGGGGTGCCTGGGTGGTTCAGTTAGTAAGCATCTGACTCTCGATTTTGGCTCAGGTCATGATCTCAGGGTTGTGAGATCAAGACCTGCAATGGGCTCCACACTCAGTGAGGAGTCTGTTGGAGATTCTGTGTCTCCCTCTGCCCTGCCCCCGGCTCACACATGCGCACTCACATGCTCTCTCTCTTAAAGAAATAAATAAATAAATCTTTAAAGTGGAGTTTCTTAACAAATCCTGATTTAATCTAATGGGTCACTGGGCCCTAATTACTATTTTTAATGGTTGTTTTAACCAAGTCACTCTTCTCAAATGATCACTAAATAAGTTATCATATCCCAAGTAACTTCAAAGGAAAATATCAAGAGTGCTAAGTACAAATGCTTTATGAACTAAAATTGAATTTTACATAATTTATATTTTTTGATGAATAATTTTAACCAAGAGACAGCGGGGAGAAACTTCTAAGATTCAGCAGGTTTTCACCCAACAACTAGTTTATCAGCAAAACTCATGACTTTCCTCTAACAACCCACATTCTATTACCTAGGATCTTAAAAGTCTACTCTGTGGAGGACTGGAATAATCCTGCATAGCCCTTATCACAATTTGAAATTCTACATTAAACTGTGAATTTATTTAATGTGTTTCTCCCACCAGCCTATATACGCTGTGAGGCCAAGAAGCATGTCTACTTTATTCACTTCTGTGTGTCTTGTATAAAATAGGCCATCAAAAATGGGTTTAACGTTGAATGAATGAAACACGGAACAACTCCTACTACTCATCCTTCTCTACCCCCAACTCCCATACAACTTTGGGGATCAGTCTGACAACTAGCAAGCAGGGAACTTTTGTGTCTTCCCCACTTCTCTGTTCCCACTCTGTATCTGGCCCACTGTACTCCGGTGGTAATAAACACCTTCTATTAATGTTCTTCTCACATTGCATTATAAGTGACTGCCCCAAAAGGAAATGAACTAGTTACCTGTGTGCCCATTTATCTCTGACAATGCCAGGTGATTCCCTTGTTTCACTTTCTGACCAGCATCAAGAAATAGCTTATGAAAATGATACATTCATTAGCTCAGAATCTAAGGAAGTATTGGATGGCATACAAGAAAAATTTTATGAAATCAAGTAAAGCCAATAAAGTATAACAAAATAAATCATCTCCTTCTAAGTCACACATTAATAGGATTAAAAATTGTAAAGTATCTTCCAAAAGGAGGATCCATCCTACACAATTAATATAACAAATCACCAAAAGTCCTATTCTTTTTTTCCATGTAAAATAATTCCTTCACAATCTTTTCAGTAAAAAGCCAGAAAGAAATACATACATGATGGTGTTAATGCCTGAGAGCTGTTGGAACATTTGTAGACCACAACCCACAATTAAAGCTCGGCGAGTTGGGGGATAATTCAGCATTCTGCAGATCACAGGTCCAGCTTTTTTAAAAAAAGAAAGAAAAAGAAGGACACATCTATTATTTTTAGCTCCCACAGTAATTATTCCCATTAGGATCAATTTCCCCAAATCTCTGTGAAATCAACATGACTGGGCATTGTAAAATGGAACATATAAACGTTTACAGAAATCCGGGCACAATCTCTTTTCTAAAACAGATTAGTATATATTTGAGTTCACACTGTAAAAGCAACAAGAAACAATTCAAGTTAAAGCAATTAATGGGTACTAGGAAGACCTACATAATGGGAACCGTCAGAAATTATTCTTCCTTAAATCCCTACAAACTGCATTAACTACTCTTCTTTTTTCCACTTCCGTGGCAATTAATTATTATTTAAAATCCATTCATTGTGGGACTACTTACAAAGTCACTGGCAAATTGCTTTAATCAACCAAAAGAATGGCATTCATTAAAAACAATTAAACAAGGAACAGAATTCATTCCAATTTCTTTTACTTAAGTAACAAAATTCACTCCAGTCTATTCAATTAAAGTTAAGGAATTTAGGCATGATATAGGACTTGGTTATGGTTTATATTAAAGGTTATCCAAAAAGATAATAAAAGATAAAAAATGTCTTTTATATAGGGGTATATACACATACATATACACAGACACACATACACACAACATACATACACATATATATATATATATATGTTATTTCTAGATTTTGAATAGCTCCGTCAGTGGCATTCAATGATCATTTCAAAATATAAATGGGCTTTCCAAATGGCACAGATGCCTTGGCCTATCAGAACTCTAGATCAATTCTGGAAAGCTGTAGGTATGAACCACTGAGGCCTTAAGTAAAGTGCCCCTTAGGTTCTCAGAAGTGCTTCAATTATACCTTCACCTTAGCTTTAAGGGGCATTCTATGCTGTGTCCTTGATGGGGCCAGAGTTGACTCCCCTGGACCTATGGCATTCCTGCTGTTAGAAGAGATGGCCTGGGATCACTGGGATGTTAACTGCTTAATTAGAGGCATTCCTCCTGGAGGCTGTTTCATTAGTGAACCCTAAACCAAGTCAAGTTTAAAATCCAAGGACATTTTACCATTCCAGAACCTTTTGGAAATCTAATATTTTAGTCCACAAAAATGGAATAAAATATACTATTGTCTCGGCAATAAAAGTTAACATGGGATGTCGAACCAGGGTATTAATTAGAACTGAACATGATAGGAATGAGAATATTCATCTCTACATGGGTGTGATTAAGTCATATGAAGACTTGATTTACTGCAAACGATTCTGTCCCAAAATGGTAAGACAGGGACATGGACAGAGAAACATTTATGGTCATTTAAAGCTTAATGCAGTGACAACCACTTAGAAAGCAAGGAGAGAGTACTGTAAATGTCAACTGTTTTAGATTCAAGTAAAGCAGAATTAAAACCCAGTACATCAGAAAGGCTGTGTGAAATAGGCAGATTTTGAAAGCTTTACGGTGACAATACTGAAATATATCTGGATCAGCTGTCTGAAAGGTGAACAGGTTTGCCTGCAAGCTCAGCTATCTATAAGTGAGCCACAACATAAAAAACATACACAGCATCATAAAAAGATCTACTGATTTCCATAAATCAAAAAATCTAAATGAAAAAGATTATCATTTACTTGGTGTACCATGGAAAATTTAAAACAACGACAACAAAACAAAAACAAATACAAAACCTTCTTCAGCTTTTAGTAACCTCCATAGATAAGAAATAGGCCTTCTGCAAAGAATCTATTATAATTTGTGGGTAGCTGCATCTATTTTCACTACTAAACTGTTCTGTGATTTGATGGACAGATTACCTAATACTGTTTTTGGAGGGCAGGAAAATAAAGAGAAAATGAAGACAAATTAGGATTAAAGTTTGACTTGCCAAAATACCAAGAGATACACTATTGTATAAACATCACATATGTACTTCCTAGTTTTTAAAATTCTGAGTTTTTAACTTTCTCTTGGTTTTGATTTCCTATTAAAAATAAACAATAGCAGTTCTGTTATTGGACTGGCTTTTTTTAAATATACAGATAAATTTTGGTCATAGTAGCTGCACATCTGATTATGCATAAATAAAATGAAAGAATTTCCTTTTATTAAAATCATAAACTTAGCTTTATTAGGCAGTAAAACTGACTTAACAAATGCAAACTATCATTAATTTTTATATTACAGAAGCTATGAGGCAGAATATCAAAAATATTAATTGGTTGAATGTTCATAAGTGAAAATTTAAAATGTCATGCTCCACTTATTACGTTTCTTTTGATTTTTGTAATTAAAAATATTCAGTGTATACAAACATGTCATGCTTAATTTTTAAAAAGATATTTATATCTTTGAGACACAAATTCCCACACAACAAAACATAAAACCTTTAAACAACTAAAGTAGATAAGAACTACAGGGCTCAAAATATAACATGTACTAAAACAACAGATGCAAGAACCAAAAATGGGTTCATCTTTTCCTTCTTTCTAAACACCTCATACTAAGTAACTTTCACAGTAATTGTCCAAGTGTGGCAGGTACTCTAGTGGCAAGGCTGCAAAGGACAGTCCTACAAGTTCAGCCATTCCTGTTAATAGCCGTCTGTGAGCCAAGCCTAGAGACGTTTTTCCAGGTACAATTAAAAATGCTCTAGAACACACTATATATATAAAATCCCAGCTCTTGAACTCCACTTCCAGCCAAAATGGAGTAATAGTTACCAGATTTACCTCCAACATGAAACCAGCTAGAAAGCCATGAAAAATGTAGAAGACAATAGGTTTCATGACAATGGATAACAGGCAATGAAGGATAGCGAATCCCGAGATTCGGGAAACAAAAGGGGTGAACCCGACAACAACTGTCCAAGTTTAATGCCTCAAAAAAATGTTTCCAGGCTGCAATACAAGCAGGGGAAGCTAGGCAGACTCTGTGGTCTCCTTGAATTGAAAAGATGCAGCTCAGGATCCAGGGACACCATGGTGGCTGGAGTTGGGGCAGAGTGCCAGAGTGGAGAGAGAGGGCACAGAGATCTGTAGGCCTTGCTGGGTACGCCACTGAGTGGATATGTGTGAGGGAAATACTCAAGGCAGGAGAAAGAGCCACAGAAAGAGATTAAAGAAATCAACTCCAGGACCTGTTTGTACCAACCAGAGGGAAAAACCTGGAGCGTAAGGAGGAGTAATCAAAAGGGTCTTACCTTGGGAATGGTATAAATTTAGTCCTACATTAAACACTGCTTGGGTACCATCTAAAACAGCTTAAAAATCAAGACCCCACCGCTTCCAAGCACTGAAGAGCATCCCAGAACAAAGTTCAGCAGTAAGAGAAAATTTATAATATCAAGCACACAATAAAAAATTATCAGGCATGCAAAAAGGCAGGAAAGTACAACTCGTCACAGTAAAGGGATTAATTCATCAAGAGGACGTAACAATCCTAAATGTCTATGCACCTAATAAGAGTTTCAAAATATATGAAACAAAAATTGATACTACTGCAAGGGGAAATAGAAAAACCCATAATTATACTCAAATATTTCATCACCTCCTTTTCCATAACTCGGAAAACATATGTAGGCTGAAAATCAGCAAAGATAGAGCAGACTTCAACAACACAATCAACAGACTTGACTTGACATTTAAATATCACTCCACTGACCAAGAGCACAATACAGAATCCTTTCCAACAGTAAATGAATGGTAAATGTCTTGGAATATTTACCTAGATTATATTTTCAGTTCTAAAACCAGTCTCAATTAAAAGGGTTTAAGTCATACAAAGAATGTTCTCACACCATCATGAAATTAATATAGAAATCAACAACTGGAAGATAACTGGAAAATTCCTTCCAAATTGGAAACTAAATACCACATTTCCATGGGTCAAAGGAATAATGGAAAATTAGAAAGTATTTTAACTGAAAGAATATGAATACACAGCTCTGAAAATTTGTGGAATGGACCTAAAGCAAAACAGAGGAAAAAGTGGAAAAAAGATTCCACTTTACAAAACCAGAAGAAGAGGGACAAATGAAACCCAAAATAAACAAGAGAAAGAGAATAATAAAGAGCAAAACGGAAATCCGTGACATAGATCAAAATGACAGTTGCGGGGGGGGGGGGAAATCAAAGAAACCAAAAGCCAATTCTTTGAAAATATCAATAAACTCTGAGCCACACTGCGGTGGGCTGAGTAACAGCCCCTCAATAGATATGCACATGTACTAATCCTTGAAACTTTTTAATGTTACCTTAGATGGCATAAAAGGACTTTGCAGATGTAATTAAATTAAGGATTCTGACATGGAAAGATTATCCTGGATTATTTGGGTTTGGGCCTAAATGCAATCACATATATTCCTATGAGGAAGGCAAAGGGAGATTCAGGATAAAATAAAAGGCAACGTGACCATGAATGCAAAGACCGGACCAATGCAGCCATAAGCCAAGAAATGACAGCTCCGACCAGAAGTTGGGAAGAGAAAAAAGCATACTGTCCCGGAGAGCCTCTGGAGGGAGCATGGGCTCTGCCAACACCTTGATTTCAACCCAGTGAAACGCATTTCAAACGTGCGGCCACCAGACCATGAGAACAAATTTCTAGTGTTTTTTTAAGCTATCGAGTTTGTAGTGATTTTTTACAGCAGCAATAGAAAACTAAAACACAGATGGACCGGGGGGGGGGGGGGGGAAAGAAACGGGGGGGCGTGGGTGGCTCAGTCGTTAAGCGTCTGCCTTCAGCTCAGGTCATGATCCCAGGACCCTGGGATTGAGCCCCAAATCGGGCTCCCTGCTCCGCGGGAAGCCTGCTTCTCCTTCTCCCGCTCCCCCTGCTTGTGTTCCCTCTCTCGCTGTCTCTCGCTCTGTCAAATAAATAAAATCTTTTAAAAAATAAATAAAAATAAATAAAATCTTTAAAAAAAAGTAAGTTACCAATATCATGAGTGGGAGAAGTGAAATTGATATAGATTCTACAGATATTTTAAAA